AACCGAAGTCTGGCTGCAGCAGGTAAATATTCTTCCTTAGAGAAACAGAGTTCAACAGTGGCTTAAAGTCAGTCAATACCAACTTTTCAAATACAGTTAAGGTAGGTGATAGAAGGTGTTCAGACACCTATTTTTGCCAATAATCTGATTTTCCAACCACAACGATGTTGTTTAGCCACTCGTCCCATAGAATGCACATAGAATGGCAGTAGACTGAAACAGCCTGGAGAGAGAAGATGCAGAAGTTCCCACAGGTCGAGCTCCATACTAATGATTTTAGGCTGGGATTACATGGGGCAGGAAAAGAAGCACAGGGCTGCAGTGAGACCCTAAGGCAAAAAATATTTGCTCTCACTAGTACTTGTAATTCATGAGTGCTAAATTCATTCAATTCATTGGCAAGGAAATCATTGGCGGGGGGGGGGCAAATGTGTTTACCAAATGCTCTTTGTTCACTTTAAATATAGCATATTGTGAAAAAACATCATACATTGAGATCAGCAATTCCCTCTAGTAGTCTTAAAATTTTAGAAGGTGCTCTTAAATAGCAGCTCCTGAAATGCTTTTGTTCTGAAAGCTTTTGGCAAATCAGGACGGATCAGCCTGTTTCCCTCCGGACATTTCCCACACCCACTGCCTTTTCAATGGCAAGTTGAGAAAATGTAACAGACCCAAAAATCAAAATCAGGAAGGATACTGGACAGGGTAGCTAATTCCCACCTAATCAGAGGTTGTGCTCTTCCCCACCAGTCACATTCACCTCTGGAGCAAGGCTTACTAAGTTGAAAGGGAGGCAGCTGAGAAATGGATTACAAGTGAGAGATTGGGCACGCTGTACTGACGTCTTTACCCAAGTTGCAGGTGACATTGATGCTCTTGGGATCACAGAAGACAAAGTAAAATTGATGTGAAAGACAATATTGTTGTGGGCCCAAAGAGACAAAGAGGGACTGTACAGAAGTTCAAGGGGAAGATGAGGACTGGAGAAAATGTAGTTAAGCCAAACTCCCCAACACATCAGTTATAATCCAAGAAAACCAGCCAAGACTTTATCAATATATTTCCACTGCTGTGATCTATGCTGTGGAAAAAGGAAACATTTTCCCAATCTGTACAGCTCATTTTTCCCCAAAATCCAAACAACTTTAAGCAAACATCTCAAACAGAAAAAATAAGAAGACACTTTTGTCTACCTCACAGTCAAAAATAATCAAGAAATTGTTCCATATTGGGTAAATTACAACACAGCTCTGCAGCTCAGATCTGTCATGTCAAACATTGCCAGGAGCAGATATTTATGCTAAGTATAAGTCCTCACTTTAAAGAGGTTTCTATTTGTTGCATTAATAAGCAATCATAATGATGCTACCAGGCACTGTTATAATTAGGAAACATTAGAGGTCAGTCATCCTTTCTTCTCTTCAAGTGCAATTCAGTATGATTACAAACAACAGCTGGATGTTAACAGCAAGGCAGGATGAAAGGGAATTATTTACATTCTCAAGCACAAATATGTCACTACAAGACCTGATGGTCAAGCAATCAAATCCCTAAAGGGGCCTGTCCTCTGCAGTTTAAGATGGGACACAAACAAGTTCTTTGTGCACTGGGACAACCTAAGAAAATGAAGCAACCAAAGCAAGTGACAACTATTCGAAAATCCATTATGTCTGGCTTAAAAGCTTAAGACCTTTTTACGTGGTTTAAAGGTAAAAATGAGAACTTTGCTATCACAAGTGACTTGATCTTACTACATGCCATGGGAGAGGTGGGTGTGCCAGCTGCAACATCTACTGCCTTACCTCATGTAGAGAGTGACTTAGTTGCAAACAGAAGAATTTTTTCAGCTTCATTATGATACTTTAAAGTTTTCCACTATGCCTTCAAACAAGCTCAGGCCTGCACAACTCATAAAGCACAAGACAGAGACAGCAAGACTGCAGACTTTAGGCAGCCGCCTCTGCAGCCAGCAAATGTCCTGTTCTCCCAGCTCCAAGAGATTTCCTCATTTAAGCGTCCCCAAAGACAAGGAAGCCCTAATGTAGCTCTGGCACGGTCGGCCAATCCTAAAAGAGGATGATGGCTGGTCTCCCTCTCACACATGCTGCTTTTCCCTTTCATTACACCACTTTTTGGGGCATCTAAGGTTTAGTGGCACTGCCCTGATCTTGCTTATCCTATGGAGTTAACATGAAGGACTACAATCAACTTCAGGCAGAGAAAAACTGTAAGGAAACAGTAAGTTTCTTTTTTTTTTTTTTTTTTTCTAACTGGCAGCACATATATTATACCAATAACTTCACCAGAAGATGATCTTTTCCATCTGATAGTTGTTGCCTGCAGGATTAAATTCTCACAGGCTTGCCTGGCAGAATGAAAAGGAAAAATCATGCCCCAATAAAGTCATTGCAGTAACACACAGTGCATAAACAGAAGGGTTTGTTGTCTTCTTCCAGACTGCCTCCTACTGATGTGCGATTACATCTTCCTATTGGGAAGCAAAGCAAAGCCGACTTCAAGTCATTGTGGTTCAGCCAGGCTGACTTTAGAGACAGGAGCTGTCATTCAGCTCACTACAGGGTCACAGTATTAAAGCCTGGTGTTTTCACACAACCCATACTTCAATCCCAGTGTTAACAGCTAAGACTGAATGTATCTAAGTCCAGACTGGCAGGGCACCAACACAGAGAGGCAATCCCCAAGCCATAGGGGTATACTTTGTGGTGCATATGGCTAAGTTTTCCTGGGTTTTCTACCACTTGAAATTAGAGACAGAATTCTTCACAGATATATGTCAGCACGGATCCAATTCTTAAAAAACTGTTCACTGCATTTACAGATTTGCCACATGCTTTTGATTGGCTTCCTGTCTTCTCTCTACCTGAAATACCCTGACTGTCCTCAACACCAATGAATTCTCAACACTATCTAGCTCCTTCCTGATAAACTGTCCCAAGACCCAGGGTCTATCCACTGAAGCAGTCCTCCCTGCCTCCACAAAGCTCCTTGTATTGTGCCAGATGTCTCAGAATAATAGCTGGGATAAATACAGCCTCAGCCAGCATGGGACCTATGCCTCCCAAGATCTGGCACTCTAATATTACCCATATGGATTGTAATGCAATCCAATTGAGACCAAAAGCAGCTTTGCCACCACATTGTTACAGACTTTGTAGGAGCAGGGATAGAGTCTAAAACCACTTTAGGGGCCCGAGTAACACTTAACATAGCTTTTTACCAAAGGGGAACTCTCTAAGCTCATAAAGACTCAGTTTGCAATTGCAGCTAAAGAGCATTTTGCCACTGGAACCCAAATGCATGACTTTTTACTTCAACCATGATCATATCCAGTTTCCAGTGGACCACTGTAGTGAATGGACAGCACCTGAAATGAAATAAAAGATCTGCAGCTTGCTAAAAGTAAACACATTATTTCAGGTCCAGAGTATTAAAGAGGAACTTGCTTAGATAATCACCTTCCTACTGTTTGAAGATCAGTATCTCTGAGCAAATTGCTCTTTTCTCTGCTTTTATCTCCTTGAATGCTAACAGCATAGCCAATAAAGGGCATTCTGAAATATAGATGAAAAGTAGCCTAGGGGCACAGTGTGGCGATTGCTAGGGGTACTCAATGTCACTGTAACAGGAAATTGTACTATAGAAGACAGAGAAGCCACACTGCTATGACCAACATTAATTGATACAGAGAATTCAGTGTGGGAAGTGGGCATAACAACAGTGCCAGTCACTTCTTGGAAACCTGGCAGGAATGAATTTGAGAACCAACACTAGCCCCCCACAGAGCCCTTTCTAGACACAAAGGTTACTTCAGGAACAAGATCTAAACAAAAGAAAAACAAAACAATGACCACATGGTGGATTAGTGTATCTTCTAGAAAGGCATAATTCCTTTGATCTTCAGTTTTTTTTGCTTTAAAAACAGAATCACTATTTAATGATACTTCTTCCCTTCTTGAATACATCTTGAGTGATAGTGACTTTTTGCCTCTTGCAGGCTGTACAGAAGGCCTTATGGATTGATCTGTTTTCCTAACTGGGGAATAGAACAATGCAGACTTTATACCTGGCCTCAGGGCAAGAATGACAAACTCTTCCATCTTTCATAATACCCTGCCACATAGGTAACCCAGGACATATTAAATAACACAGCCATCTCACTATGGGATACTAACAATTTACTTCTTGAGTTAATCCCTCAGCTTTAACCCTATGTCAAGCCAGAGCAGTACATCAGAAAAAAGAGAAATTTGTACCTTCTGAAAAACACCTGTGGGTGCACCAGTTTACCATTTGCTTTGCTAGTGCTTGCTAAAACATGCCTACACATGTGAGCTTAATAATATCCCCCCTGCCATACCTAAATTTAGCTGGTAAAGTATTAAAGAGAAGTATTTTACAATTTAGCTGGTAAAGTATTAAAGAGAAGTATTAATAGATGTTACTAAACACAGCTTTAGACAACTCTAAACCTAACAAAACTTAAAAAAAAAATTAAAATAAGTTCTATAAAACGTTGTTCTTATTGAACTTGTAAAAACACAACCACTCCATACAAGCAGTCTGGTCTTAACTTTAGGTAGGTCTGCATGGTCCAAGCACTGCTAAGTCCCACGAGTGACATCTCTGCACATAGCCCAAATCATGACACAAAAGTCCAGGAACGATGGGGGTACTGAGCAACATCCCCTCAAATCCAACACTCACAGCCCACACCCCACATGCTAGAACCTGAAACCAACCCAGTTTCCCGGGTCTGCATGCACAACTAACTCAGCATAAAGGACATTGCTCCCCTAAATGCTCCACTTGCGAAATGTGCAAGTTTTGGGGGGCAAAAATAAGGAACGAGCCCCACACGTCACATTTGGCATCAGGAGAAGTCGTCTGGGAGAACGGGGAAAAGAAAGAAAGAACATCCCTGCTGCTGCAAGGAGTCACTGAAGGGTGAATAAACGTTTTTAAATGCGACTGTCACTTACTTATCCAGGACGAAGTAGAGATCAAAGGCACCGTGACAGGAGCGCTGCTCTTCTTGCTCTTCCTCCTCCTCTGGCCGGGCGCAGCAGATTAGGTTCCCCATTGCCAACAAAAAGCAGCACAAAAATGCCGCTCTCTCCACACTGCTCCAGCAACTCGCCATCTTTTCCCTCTCCTTAATTCTTCCTCCTCCCCCAGTCTGTTTCTCTGTCTGCAAATATTACAGGCACTTCGGAAGCACCGAGAGCAGAGAGGGGAAAAAAAACTAAATCAAAACAAAACAAGAAAAAAAAAAAAAAATCACTAACTTCAGGATCTGAGCTCAACCCTGAGAGCTCAAGGCAGCCCTGCCCGCGGGGCGCCGGAGCGCTGGCTCCAGGCAGCGGCGTGAGCCCAGGCGGATGGTCCCCAGAGCCCGGTCCCCATTCCCCGCCGCCTCGGCGGCTGCCCCGAGCGCCTCACCCCGTCCCGCAAGGAGAGAAGAGGCTCCTCTCGCACGGGCCAAAGGCAGGAAGGGGCAGAGGGAGGGGAGCGGGAGGAGGGAGACAGGATCTTATGGGGGGCAAGCCGAACTGGGACTTTCCTGTTCCGGGATACCGAGATGGCAAAGGCTGCTGCTAGCGAGAGACCGAGGTTAGGGACCGCTGCCCGGCGCCGCCGGGACACAGGGCGGGCATTCCTGCCTCCTTCCCTGTCGGACTGCCCTCGGGGCAGGACAGCGGGAGCGGGGTACAGGACTCTGCCGCCGGCGGGCAGGGAAGTCGGCCGGGGGCCGGGGCAGCCCAGCTGCGTTCCGGAGCATCGCTGCGCGTCCTGCTAAACCTCTCTCCCGCAGGCTCGGGAGCGGCTGGAGCCCAGAGGTGGTTAGAGCTCAGGGGTGACGACACCCAAGGCAGAAAGAAGTTGCTGTAGGAGATGTAGGGTGTCATGGCAAAAACCTGTGACAATAAAGCAGAGGTGGGGGTATAACGCGAGGGGGCACTTAAGAAAAATCTGTTTGCAGCTGAGTGCAATTAAAAAGATTATTGCTTGGAGGCGGGGGTAGGGGCAGGTTTTCACGGCCCTCTCGTGCCACAGCAAATTGTTTCTCTTCGTGGAAATCTTGGTTTACTCACACTGGAGTCCGAACACATCCTGCAGGCGATGAGTAACGATGAAATTAAATCTCTTAATGGAGGCTTTGTACAGCAGCATTATCACTCCCCTCCTAATACACACAGGTTACAAAGCGCTGCCCTAAAGAGATTGCCCTAAAGAGATCTGGATTCTGTCTCCAAAGTTTGAATAATTAGCGGCTTCCAGCCGCTTCCCCCTCCCCCACACTCGTTTCAGCCCTTAATTAATGAAAAGAGCCACGAGGAGGGATGCGAGCAGAGTCATGTTCCATGACAGAGCTGAGGCTGGACATTTCTCTCTCGGGGCGAGGCTCCTATCGCGAGTCGAGGAGGAGGGAATCCATCCATCCATCCCCTGCGGGGTGCTGGTGTGCTGTCCCACCGAGCACAGCGCCCCGAATACCTAGGCCACTTCACCCGGTAAGCCGAGCTATAGCGCTCCAGCCGGAAACCGCTTATACGTGCCAGTAGCAGAAAGTGACACCTCCTGCCCGCGACAAAGGTGGTACCAGCGGGGAACACGGCACACCGGGCGGGCTCGGCCCGCTGCCCAGCGGGCGTGGCAAGTGTGTGTTGTTTCCCCCCCCGCACACGGCAGCTCTGCCCGCTCGGCCCTAAGTGTGCGGCTCTGTGGCGGAATGGTGGGATGGATGCTCCTCGCAGCCGGAGCGCCCTTTCACTGTGCGCCCGACTGGGACACGCGTGGACGCGGCATTACTGCCCCTCCGCCCAAAGCCCCTTCCCCGTCGGACCCCGCGGCCCCTCCAGCAGCCTTGGCGTGCTTTGTGCGGTGTAGGCTGCCGCCCACGAGTCTGAAACAAAGTTTGCCCTTGGGGGAAAGCATCTCCATTTCTTCGGGGAAAGCATTTCAAGTTGCCTGTTTCTGTGCTGGACCGAGTTCAGACACATCCAACCGCGGCGGCGGTCGGGGATTTATCAAGGAAAGATTAGAGGGTCCACCGGTTTTCAGCCGCTTGCCTGGTTTAACTATGCACAGCTAAAAGCTGAATGCACTGCTTGAGCTCACCACTTGAAAGGTTTTTTGAGCACTGGCCAGTTGAGACCCAGCGATTACTTAGATCATGGAGAAGTAGAAAAAACCCACATCCTCCCTCTCGACATTCACAAAAAATGAGCAAGCGGCTGCTGAGCAGCAGGAATCCCCCGCTTCCTCCGCGCCGCCGGGCTTCGGCCTCGCCGCTGCCCACTAGTGTCCGCAGCCCGAGTGGTCCCCGGGAGCCCTCGCCACCCCCTGCCCGAGGCAGCCGTCCTTCCCCGCACACACTGCGTCTCAAACGAAATAAAAATGCTGATAGCGTCAGATTCCCTCGGTGCCTCGTTAATATCAGATTGTGTCGTAAAGTAACGGGGCAGACTTCAAGGGAGTCTCCAAAGCCAAGTAAAGCACCGCCGACAAAAAAAAAAATCACTATTTTTCGATAATGTGCACTGCCCTTCTCTGAGCTCCAACATATCCTCTGATGCTGCAAAGAGAGATGGCGTGCTCAACTGCCTCCTCCAAAGGGCCCGGCGAGGGGGCACATTTTAAGGCTAGGTGGGCGTATGCAAAAGCAAGGGCACGGCTGAGTTCTGCCATAGTCAATGATGGGCAGAAACACCCTGGGGAATGCGGGGCTGCGTCTTTGCTAGCGCCCCTTCCCTGCTTTTCCAAGCCCGCGAGGAGGGCCGGGCGCGGCGGGGGCTTGCGAGCCGCCTCTGCAGAGCCAGAGCCTCCTGTTTTAAACAAAACAGGTTTTCCGATCGGCCTGAGCCCCTCCTGTGGCTGTCACACCCCTGTCAGGTCCCAAGCCCCAGCGAGGTTTGTCTGGGGTCAGGAGGGAGCGGGCAGGCAGGGCGGACAGGGCCGGTGACCCGGGCGCTCGGAGTCATTTGATCGGGTCTTACTCGAAGAAAAATCACCCCAAGCACCATGAGAGCTGTCCGTAAGGTGCGGATCTCACCCTTCCTTAGGGGACGGGTTACCTCAGCGCACCGTCTCACAGTGGTTCAAGCTCCGTAAAGCAGATTAGATTAGACCATGTCTAATTGTCCCTTCTTACACCTTCTGTCGCTTTTTGCGTAAAGGCTTCAAAAAAAATATAAACTCTCGCGACATGAAGTGCAGTGGGAATTGTCCATCCCAGTTTCCTGACACCTGCATCCCAAATCGGCTGATGTTCCCCAAGTAGTATTAGGAGATGCCACCGGAGGGTAGGATGCGGAGCTTCCAGGACGGCTGGGCAGCTACCAAACCCCCGCTGCCCTCAACAATGTTGTTCATTCGGCCCGAGTTGAATTTTAAAAGAGAACAGGAACTCTTGAGTTTATCCTCTATAATCCCTGTATCACAGAACACAGCGAGAGTGGCTCGCTCGCATTATTGGTATGAGATTACTCTTTAATTGTAGCGAAAATCCATCCTTTCAAAAGCATTAAAGGGTTGACGTTTCTTTTCCTGATACAAGCCCATATTCAGATTACATGGACACTAATCAAATAACCCGGGTTATTTCATTTGTCAACATGTTCATAAAAATTTTCTACCAGGCGTTAAAGGCATTTATATGGAACGACATCTTTCAAAAGCAATGTCGCTAGTCCGGATTTAGGGTATATTTGATTATGACAAGACGTTTGATGTTTTTATTTTACATACCAGCTGTGCCACAAATCGTTTCATACCTCAAAGTCCTAATTTTTATCCTGCGAGTATTTTCTATGAAGCAGTAGTTTTCTTGTCAGTATCTGCAGCTCCTAGAAGAGCCTTCTATTCAAAAACGTTGTCAGATGATCTAAAGGACAAGTGGGAAGGCGGCTTTGGACATGGTTTTGTTTTGTTTATTTCGGTGTGCGTGTGTGCGGTTCCCCCCCCAAGTTTAAAAGAAACTCCTGTTTATGGTACCGTTACAAGGGGCAATCCCGTCCACCTTGTGGCTGCCCGCGCTGCGCTCCGCAGCGGCTGCGGGACGGCTCCTGCCTGGGCGGGGCGGTGCGGGGCGGTGCCGGGGGGCACGCGTGGCTCCGGCTGCCGGCGGGCTCGGGGGCAGGAGCTGCGGTAGGCGTTTCCCGGGGTCTGCTCTGGGCGGGGAGCCGCGGCGGGGGAGGAGGGTGCCGGCGTGCCGGGGCGGTGCGGCGGCGGGGGCTGCGGCGCGGCTCTCGGGGCCGGGCGGCCCCGGCGGAGGGGTGAGGTGAGGTGAGCTAAGGTGAGGGCTCCGCGGGCACTTGTCCGCAGCGGGATCCTGGGAGAGGGAAGGGGCGCGGCGGGGCCCCCGGCGCCGCAGATCCCCCGTCGGCGGGGAGGCTGCAGCGGGACCCCAGGTGAGAGGGGCCGGGCCGCGGTCTCGGGGCCGCTGCAGAGCGCGGCCGAGCGGCAGCAGCAGCACGGTCCGTCCCGCCCGGGCTGCGCTCCCCGAGCCGCGGGGCCGGGCCGGGGCCTGCGCGGGCTCCCTGAGGCGCCCGGGCGCTGCCGCACGGCCGGGACCCGCCGGGACTGTCCGGGGAGCAGGTGAGGGCACGGGGGTGTCCCTTGCTGACTTGTGCCCGGCCCTGGCCGTGCCGCCGCCCGCTCCGTGCGGCAGAGAGCGGCCCCGAGCAGAGTGCCCCGAGCGGCGGGTGCCGGCCCGGGCTGGGGCTGCCCTGCCCCGGCGGAGGGGAGGCAGGATCCCCCCGGCAGTACGAGCGCTTCTCCTCCCTCCCGGCTCTGTGCGCTCGCCGAGAACTCTGGAGCATCAGTTGCTCTGTTTATTGGTTACAGCTCTCCTCATCCTTCCAACTTGCACAGGTGATCAGAGCATCGTGGCTGTTTTAGGTACTTACTTAGGGTCTAATTGCCTTTATGAAATTGATGGAGTTTGTTTAGAATGGCTCACGTTGTTGTTCTCTGTTTGTATGTATTCCTTATATCATGGATATCCATGTAGTAGAAATTTCTTAAGTTAGGAGCTGCTGTTGCTTTCACTTTAAAATGTCACATTCATCTTTAAATTTGCAAATCTTTACATTAAAAGGTTTCTGTAGGAATTCAGTCCACTGAAAATGTTTGAAGCATTTTAATGGCTCTTTTCTGAGAACTGACAGCTACTAGTTGAAAGAAATGTCAATAGAAACTTGATAGAAGGTAAGATTTTTAAATAGTTTTGTACTTTTAGTATAGTTGCTTTCAAATAAAAAGCAGTTGCAGTCATTCATGAAATTCAGAATTTAATAATAAGTTATGTCTTAGAAATTTTCCCTTATTTTTGGCTTTTAAAAATGCAAAATGTAGCACTTGACAGCTTTTGT